AACAGCAAATTCTTCATGTCGAGGATGAAGACACAACTTGGTTTGGGATTGCGCGTGATAATCACAACAAATCCATTCTGGATGACCGTGGACGCTACGCTGCTATCATGGCCGACAGCAATACCGATGAGTACCAGTTCCGATATCCCCAGATCGTCTCTTTTGTTGGACAAACAGGTGCTGGAAAGAGCACTCTCATAAAAATGCTTATAGATCAACAAGAGAGGATACACGGCTCGCGTGAATGGGTGTTCCCGTCGCCAGTAGTTGGGTCAATGACGAACAGCAACATACCAACATCTTGCGACGTTCACCTTTACAGTGATCCAACCACATATCTATCAGAATATCCCATGCTTTTTGCAGACTGCGAAGGCTTAGAAGGTGGCGAAAACACTCCGATAAGCGCTCAGTATCGCGAGAAGGCGTCACATACTTCTGAAGAGAAGGGAAAAGGGAGGGATATGCGCCGCGAGTATCCCAAACTGCAAAAGATTTCCAGAGGATTAAATCGCACACGTCTAGAAATCAAATGGGCGAACTCACCAGAAAAGACAAAACGTCAGTACGCAGTCACAGAGTTTTATCCACGTTTACTATACACGTTTTCGGATGTGGTCGTCTTCGTCTTGCGAAATGCAAAGTAGGTTCCCAAAGTACACACTTCAACGCCCCAGTGTTTTATTCTCTTTTGTACTTTCTTTGGGTCTTTATCGACCTGCTCCAATTGTTTCTTCTTCTTCTTCTTCTTCTTCTTCTTCTTCTTCTTCTTCTTCTTCTTCTTCTAACTCAATATCACAGGACATTTGAGTCTACGGTGCTCACATTGTTGATCAAATGGGCAAGATCGTCCATTGAAAAGTCAGTCAACCAACCTATCCTGCCTCACGCCATTATTGCTCTCAACGCAGCAAGTACCAAAGTCGATCATAGCGCTTGGGACCCTGAGCATGCAACAGAATCTCTTCTAGCTGATGTCGCTGGTGCAGTCGATCGAGACCCGGCTTTTAAAGAGTTAAAAGAATATTGGATTAGGAAGGGTAGAAACATTCACACCGTGAAGGATCTTCTTTTGTGCTACTATTCTTCGATCACCGTTGTACGGATACCTGGGGATGGCCGTTATATGATGATCGACGAACAGATCCAAAAACTGCACGATACGTTGTCTAAGCGATGCAGAGAGTCGTTCAACATGAAGCGTAAATCTCGCATGCTTTTCAACTCCGACTCTTTGAACGTATACCTACATTCCGCATTCGAACATTTTTCAAATGATTTGAACAAACCGTTCGATTTCATAAACGCCTCCTTCAAGATCAATCCCATTCCCTTGAATTTTGGAGGTAATATTCTCAAGCTGGCTGTTGCTATGAAAGCTCGGTACGATGATCCCACGAAGATTTTCGAGGAATTGAGCTTTATGGTAGCTTCGTGTATTGGGTTGGACTGTGTTCGACAAAACTTCAAAGGTATGTGTTTCGACCCCACTCCACTCGCTCTTTACACTCTTTTCCTCCAAATCTTAAATCCACAATTTATTAACACGTGAGATTTCCAGGCCCGGCAGACCGAATTCTCGAAAAACAATACCGCTCCCATTGTGAGGCAGCACTAGAAGACTTTTGTGCGTTCTACTGGCCATGTACATTCAGCTATAGGCACCGCAGCCGCTGTGTAAATGTGAAGGCGCTTCATAGCAAGGGCCATCAGAACAAAAAGGGTGAGATCATTGGCACTGGTCCCTACGAGTCCGACTTCACGTTTAGTGGCTTCGCCAAAGACTGGAATCGGCATTTACAGAACCACCTGGCACAATTTCAAGTTGAGCTGAGTTCCCAGCTCATGGAAACCCCTTCTGCGAGTGAGGTTGATATAACCACACGACTCCACCACGACAACATCACAACATTCTACAAGCGTCTGGGTGGCGCCCAGAAGTTTGTCAGTCATTTGACTTGTTACTGCTGCCTTCGAGAACTGGCCGAGCATCCTCTACGTTGCGGACATGTGCTCTGTACGCCCTGTATCAAAAGTTACGGAAAGCCCCACACTGAGCTTAAACACTCATATGCAATGGCTTCTTGTCCACTCCATCACTACGAAACCGTCTCCTCTGCTCACTGGCCGGTGCACTTCAAGCCACCGCTCGCTGGTGTGCGTGTACTATCACTTGACGGGTAAGCAAACCGTACTCATTAAAAATGATACTAACAAAATTAGTGGTGGTATGAGGGGCATTGTCATTCTGGATGTTCTTAGAGAGATCCAAAAGGAACTAGGAGGGCGCATTCCTGTCCAGGATTTTTTCGATCTCATAGTGGGCACCAGGTGAGTCGTTGTAGAGTCTACCATTAGTTCCCGAAGGACTTTGGGCACATGAGCAAGCGAATATTGATTATTCTTAGTACCGGCGGGTTGCTTGCACTTGGACTTGGTGTCAAGAATTGGTCCATCGAACAGTCTACGCGGACGTTCCTGAACTTAGTGGGAAATGCGTTTACTACCAGATATCCTGGTGGTTTCCAATTCATGAGGAGCAAATACAAAACCAAGCCGCTTCAGTCAGCCTTACTCCAAGCTTTCGGGGATGAAGCTATGTTCGGAGGAGTGCCAGAGGATATGAGTGGCTCTGCACGGAAAGTTGCCGTAACAGCTGCCACTGAGACGGGTGAGGAGGTTGTCATATTCACGAACTATAATCGTACGAGCAAATCTGGAGGTAAGTTGCCTTTGGCTTGACCTGAAGCAGAGCTCATACTTTCGATAGTTGGTTACCGTCTGGTTCGCCCAGATGACCCCAACAACGGCCTCAAGGTCAGAGAAGCGTAAGTGTATCGGAATAAGAGTCCTGAGGCTTACAGCTGACACTAGACTAGTGCAAGAGCCACATCTGCTGCACCACTCTTCTTCAAGCCCTTCGTCAATGACAGAACCAAGGAGAGTTATATTGATGGCGCTGTCAAGCACAACAACCCAGTACGAATAGCCAACACTGAAGCCAAGTTCCTCTGGCCAGATGTAGAAGAACGGTATCCAGATATCTTATTGTCTGTTGGGACCGGATACCATGAATCGGGTGTAGAAGGCTCCTCACCTACCGGATCTGATCGCAGACGCATGCAAGTTCGAAAAGCGCTCGACTTAACGAAGAAGCGATCCAAAATATCAAAGGTCTTTCCATCTGTAGATTCTTGGTATCAAATTGCCAAGAAGCGCATCGAAGATATTCTCAACTCTGAAAAAATATGGAGGGACTTCCGTACCGACGTTGTGGGCCTGTCTTCGCCCATTGCAGCAGAAAGATATATGCGCATGAATCCTCAAGTCAGGAGCCCAGTACCCAAGATGGACGACACGTCGAAAATCAACGACTTGCAGAGGGAGGTTGCTGACTCACTTCGCACACCAGAGTCACAGGGTATGATACGAACAATCGCTGGTCGGCTCATTGCCAGCTCGTTCTATTTCGAAAAGATTGGGCGAATTAGAGAGAGCAGAGGTGTACTCACCGTCCAAGGTATGCACTCACAGTATTGCTATGAGATGAACATAACTAAAACGTCAAAGGTACCATTGCGTGTAGATTCGCTAATGGATCCGACAATCTACGCTTCCTTGGAGAACACATTCGCTTCAAGTTCCAACGCTACAGGTTCCAACCCTTCTTCCGCATCTATGAAGTGGGCAACGTCGAGCACACCCAGGAAATCGAGCTGAGCCGCAATGTCCTCGAAGACATGGTAGACACTCGGTTATTCGACCTGGGCCCAATCGTCATACCCGTGACCTCGGAGTCAGCACTTCTGGCCATTGACCTTCACCTAACCGACGACCACATGCAGCCAACACTCAGCACCGGCTTCCCCATCAGTGGTTTCCCACGCAATCTCACCGAAGGCGAAACGGCGATACAAACCGGTAAGACTACGCATTACCCACCCACCCTCCCTCCCTCCCCAGACCAAAGATCAATCTCAAATCTAATCAAGAATTTTCCGCCGCCTTAGCATCTCTGCCCATGCCCGACACAGAACCCCTGAAAATCCTAGACAAGCGCCGCTCCCTCCGCGAAAGCAGATCCAACATCCACAACAAACTCGCGCTCGAGCACCGCCCCCTAAGCGACGGAAACATCAACTACGGGCCCCCCTCAACCCTTGCTGACAGCCACGATCCCGTATCTGACGGAGCCCATGGCCACAGTGAGACCACCCCGCAACCCCCAACGCCAACACTACCTCTTGACCCAGAGCGCCGAGTTGAATTACATGATCCTGATGAAGCCATAGGAATGTCAGACGCGGAGATGGCGCCAAGCCATGAAGAAAGGGGGGGTCCCGTGGCGAAAAAAGGAGCGTCAAAGTTGACGGGACATGATGTTGATGCAGCGAGTGAGGCGAGTTTGAGTTGGGAGACTTTGATGTAGATTTTCTTTTGTGGGGTCATATATAGATTTGCTATTATCTTTTTTTTTGAAAGAAGTATTATTATAATGAATAGATGTAGTATGTGACTTTTGTTCATGTTAAACTGCTCTTATGGCAGGAAATGGTTAAACAATGCGTGAACTGGGCCTTGGGCTAGCTTGTTGCTGTTGAAGGGAAAGCTGTCGGGCGTGACTGAAAACAGTGCTCTGATTTGGGGGAGGAGCAAGTAGCAATCTCTCCACTGCTTGGTAGATGCCTCTTGTAATGCCCAAAGCCATACAGCCCCTCTCTTACTGTAAAACTAGCATCGTAGCAACATGTGACTTGGACATCGTAGTCATAATGCCGTGGGCATGAACAAATGCACACGTCGTAACGATTTCCGTCATCAGGGCCAGGGAAGCCCACGCAACCTCCACCCATACATCAAGCATACATCAAGATGTGAGATGAGGATTAGGCATCACAACCCATCTCTCCTCTTCCTCTCAGTCGCCAAAAAATCATTCCCAACTGCGCAACACAGCAGCCAAGTAAATATATAACAGGGTGGGGGGGTATCAATTCATCTCAGTCTTCCGACGCCGCTCTTTCCCTCTCCTTACCATCCCACCCCACCAACGGCCATCCTTTCGGCAGCACCGAGTAAGGCGGTAATGTATATCTTCCCTCACAACTCCCCTGATCCCTACACGTCAAATCGCACAGCCCAAAGACATTGCAATAGCAACTCTTGACCGTTGGACAATGTACAGCCGGTTTCCCGAAAATAACTAATTGGGTACACACACACAATTCAATCAGCCACTGACCCTTTCAACCACGAGACTCTTAAAAAAAAAGGGAGGGGGGGGGGGGCAAACAAACTTACTATGCCACGAATACTCAAACACCCGCCCACTAATCGCATCCCCAAGCTCCGTCTTTACAATCCACTCTCTAAACCGCACATACTCGTCGCGCGTCCTCTCCCACACCTTCTCCCGCGTCGCCGCAAACTGCGCACAGCAACTCACGCCTACGACCCCGGGAACTTTCTCCCCAGGAAACAGCTCTTCAAACGCCTTTTTGTAGTCACCGCCCGCATGCACGGCTTCGCGGTGCTCGCCCGCTTCAGCCAGTGGTTTTATCTCGGCAGGACACCCGAGAGACCAGGCGCAGCGGATGTTGACGTAGCCTTGCTGGCGTAGGTAGGGGAATTGGAAGCGGCGGAGCATGGGGACGCCGTCGTAGTCTGGGTCGTCGTTGTGCCATTGGTAGCGGTTGGGGTGCAGGAAGAGGATGGTGTCGGGAAGGGTGGCGTAGTTGTCGATTATGTAGCTGTTTTTTTGTTTCGTACAATGTTAGTTTATTTAATTGATTTTGCTGAAAGGGGGGGGGGCAAGGGAGAGGAACGTACGTCAGGTACACCATGCTTTCGCGACCTTTATTCAAGGGAACGGTAAGAGGCGCATTTTTGTCGTCGACTCGATAAATGTTCTTCTCCCACTCGGGAAAGTACTCGTCGAGCCACGTCGCGTTCTCGGAACTTTGGCTGGCGACTACGACGGCGGTTCGTTGTTGCGCCTTGACACTGCCATTCGCTTGCAGCGGCTTCACCCCCTCCTCCTCATCCCCCTTCTCCTTTGGCTTGTGCGACGACGGACCGCTCGTTGCTCGTTGCTCGTCGTAGAGTTCGTCCGGTAGGTGTGTCAGACTGGCGGGGCCGGGCGCAACGGCGCTCTTGTCCCAGAGTTCGAATTTCAGGTGTAGGAAGAGAGCCGTCAGGAGGGCGACATTGATGAGTATCGCGGCATTTCGTGCCGTTATTAATCGAGGCATGGCGACACAAGAGGTCGTACGCCCAAGATAAATCGCACAACGATTGCACGCGAATCTGGGGAGTTCGCATACGCGACGCTTACTTACCCAGGGGCGATCAGCGCTAGGATTCAACACCCGCCGTTAGTACGAGGTTCTCGCCGCCGTTCAGGAGTACACTCCTTTTGCCTCCATAACTAACCACATACATGACTTGAACAAATACCATTTGCATAATTGCATATTGCAGACTTTATGAAAGGACTATCTTGTCAATTGCATTCATTGCAGTATGGGCCTTTAGCTATCCAAACCCAATTGGTGCAGCCCACCATACCATACCCAGCCCGCTAAACTAGGTGTAAAGCTCCTCGGTAAGAGCATTCAGCCCCACACCTTCCTTGGCAATGTCTTCCTCTTTCAAGAAAAGCAACGGCATCTCAACAAGGTTGCCCTTGATCGTGCTGAGAATTTCCTTGACCTCACGCACACCCTGCTCGCCTGGAGCAAAGTTTTCAGCAACAACATGGCCCCACTTGTACAATGACGGCTTCTTGTTCTCCTTGGCCTTCTCGTCCTGGCCAAAGAAGCGAGAATAGTACTCGTCGTATTGCTTCCAGTTCTTGACCTCATCACTGGGTACGGGGTGGAAGATTTTTGCGAAAGCCTGTGTGTTGGTGTGTGCTCTCCAGTTCCATAGGTTCCAAAACTCGTCAGAAATGGGGTCTACAACTTGGCGGTCTTCCTGCGATCCCCAATCGTATTGATTAGGGATTCCTACAGGCTCATAGTTGGCATCTGGTCGCTCCATGTCCTGAGGTTTGAGCAAGCCGAGATGCTTTCGGAAGATTTCCCTTCGAAGGGATGCGGCGAACTCGGACGCGCGCCATGGCTGTCCGTCCATGGAAGACTCTACCGTGTTGGGGTCGTGGATGATGATCGCGATCTCAGAGTCATGATCGCCAAGTTGCGAGCGGTCGTTGAGATTAGCAGACCCACAGATGACAACCTGGTCATCAGCGATCAAGAGCTTGCTATGAATGTACAGCTCTTCAGATACGAAAGCATCCATCTCAGCATCGGGGCTACCTTCCCAAGGCACGTTACGAATGTCCTCGCCTCCGAGCATATAACACTCGCTGACAGTGTCCCAGCGTCCATCGCCAAGACCTTGTCGCCCGCCGACCTTCATTGCTTCTTGCTGGTAACGGTCATAGTCGCTCTTCCTGCCTTGGCTTTGTGGACCACCATCGTACTGCTGTTGAGGGGCGGAGGAACCGTCCATCTCGTATACACCATATTCCTGAGTAGGCGGGGGGCGATAAGCCTGGTAGCCACGCGCGTTGTCGTGGGCAGCATCGAAGCCCTCCTGAGCTTGAGTGTAGGAAACGCCACTGCGCTGCTCCGTCTCCTGCATGACCTGACTGGAGTTGATACGATCGTAGCTGCGAAGGTTGTAGAACCGGATGTATTCCATCGGGTTGAATCCTGCCTTGGCAATCTCCTCGTAAATTGAGTGACCACCACGGTTGATGGAGTCGTACTGGACTGTAATTGATGAAGTGGTTAGCAAAGTTTGGTTCTACTTGATGTTGACATGATTGTCTCTGGCCACTCACATTCCATGATAGCTCGGGTACCGAGTGCTTCATCGAGCTTCAGATCGCCTGCAAAAGCCGGCACAGCAGGAATCATAACAATCATCTTGTACTTCTCGCCATTTCTCGCAGCGCGGACAATGCGTTCAACAATGGCCTCACCGACCTTGTTTTTGATTGGCTTCTGCTGGTCACCCGTGGCAGTTATGAAAAACTGATTCTCAATGTAGATGAAATGCTTGCTGTTGCGGATGATCTCGCAGTACGCATTTTGAATTGAACGCTGTTATACATTGTTAGTCTAGGTTTTCTAGTATTAGTGCGTGCTTCTACTGACCTCAGTGGTGACCAGGTTATGGCTCCATTTGGCGGAGCTTCGCGTAATTTGGCAGTCGACACCACCCTTCTGCGAGCCGTGTTCCGCATGTAATTGTTGCTGAGGGTGGTGCGAACTGTGGCCCTGACCGTACTGATCGAACTTGCTGTACATCTTCTGACGTAGACCACCATGGCCAAAAATTCCTCGGTCACCCTCCTCGCTGCCACCGAAACCACGCTCTCCTTCGTCTCCTTCGAAATCCCGTTGTTGGGTTGGCGCCTGTTGAGCCCCGCTGTTGGTATCAGGTAGTCTGGCGTATCTGGTGGCTTTCTTGCTGTACTTTTCGTCATAGATGAAATTCCAGCGTTGCGTAAAATGGGTACGCAGATCCTGAACAACTGGGCCAGAGACACACAAGGCAACATCAGACCATCCCATACGAGAGCTTTGGGTCCTGTCGAGCTTGTTGTTCTCCCAGTTGGTCACGTCCTGGAAGTCTGTGTCCGAGTTAGCACTACTAGCAGACTAAAGCTTGGCCGGCAGAGCTATGAAATATGGACCAAACTCGGCGACCTTAGATAGCAACTTACCTAGCATACGAGCATTGTTAAAGTCTTGGCCCGGGAAGACAATCCTGTCGATATTGCCAGGATGGGCGTCAGCTATTGCGTGCTGGTTAGTGTCCCATCGGCCATAGCACAAGTCTAGTCCTCCCATGAAGGCGATGTGGCCATCAATCAAGCAGAGCTTTTCGTGATGCGCCCAATACATGACTGTGCCTTCGTGAGCACCATAGATTGCCTTGAGGCCATCTCCTGGAAGTTGAGCGAGTGCTGCCGGAGTGAAAGTCATGTTCTTCATAGAAGCGAGAAAATTCGAATGCAGCACTGCGGCGTCGGGCAAGTGATCAGGGTGTCGGAAAACACCAATGTTTTGGTGGAGGTCTTCCAAGTGGTGTTTTGTATGGGCTGATGAGACTGTAATAGGAGGGGCAATCAGCGGATCTGTCTTTTCCCACTCTTCAAGCGATTTAAATATGACATCCAGGCCGATGCGCGTGAGCGCTTTGGTAAACATGTCCGTCGAACTTGGTAGGAGAGAATGAAGGTAGTTGGGCAGCAACGGAGTCAGTAACTTACGAGTAAGGGCTTGGGTAACCTCCTTGTAAACAATGATGTTGACCTTGACGCCGCGCTCAGCAGCCGCAAGCAACATGCGGTCGACACGATACTGCTGGTTCTTGGCAGGAGGGCGACGAAGATAGAGCTCGGGGGAAAGCCACCAGTCGAGGATCCAGATGGACTCTCTGGCGCGCTCGAGAGCTATGGATACTGCGTACATGTACGAGCACCCGTCGACATACCACTTGGTCTCGTTGCCATGTCGTTCTGGGGCGAAGCTGGAGAAGCGATGTTGCTGATGATATTCTTGGGCAGCAGCAGGCTGTCCTGTCTGCTCATATGTTTCCGCTGGGGGTTTCTGCTGGTTGTTGTGGTCGTCGCCACTTATGGCATCTTTGAGATCGGAGACGAAATCATGAAGAGGATCATGGAGTTTCTTGAAGAAGGACATGCCGCCGCCACCGCCACCTTGCTGTGAGGATGAAGACTGAGGCTGGGTATTCTATGTATGTTGAGTCAGGTATTTGTGTTTGGACAACCAAGCTTCTCTCAAGGCAATGAATGCAACGAACAGAAGAAAAGGAAAGCGGGCGAGGTTAGTGAATGACGAAGCTAGTCTGGGGCTTGGTCGGTCATGGTGGGGCAGTCCCAGGGATACATCAAGATGGGACTAGGTGTAGATACAGAGCATGCAATGACAGCATGGCGTCTGGAGGAGGTGTGTGTAAGTACTGGTACTCACCTCTTTTTTGCCAAAGCCAAAACGCCGACCCATGTCGCCTATGAGGCCGCGATCGCCCTCTTGCCCTTCTTGGGCATTGTACTCACCGTACGCCAAGTCATCGTCTCGGCGAGACATGGCGGTGCTGGCACAGAGGCTGGGAGGGGGAGTGGTAGGAGCGAAATTGGAATGATTGTGTTGTTGGAGCTACAAGAGCTGACGGAGCTGGAGGTCGAGGTGTTCGGACAAGCCCCGCGTCACAAGCTTAGCGCCAGGAGGGTCAGCAAGGGTGTGAGCAACGACGTAGCTGGCGAGCGGATGAGCTGGAATCCGCGCCGATGCCCAATCAATTGCGCGTACCCTGATTTCTCCTGGTCAGCACAGTATCGCAATCGGTGCAGGGGGGGCGGATAGTCATGGCATGCATCCAACCGTCTGTCCGTACCCGTACCCGTCTCTGTGCCCCTCACCTCACCTCACCCCTCACCCCTCACCCCTCACCCCTCACCCTTAGCCCCTCACGGCCACGGGCGGCACACCTAAGTACTACTTCTGCCGGCCAGCGCTTGACAAAAGCACCCGCCTATTAACCAGAGCAATAGCACAGGGGCTCCCGCGGGTTTAAATAGATAAGCTTCGCATTATCATGTACCCCACAAGTTCGCGTAATCATGATGGCCGTTGCCGTGGATGACGTACCCTTGTACATCTATCTGCTCTTCCTCTAACTATGTATATCTATTATCCCGCTGCGGGAACGGCTGGGCTTTCTTCTTCACTCTGCAACACGCACCAATCTTTCATTGTTACTGTGTAAACAGTAGCTCATCTCCACATCATGGCTTTCTCTCCTCGTCTTGCAGTTTCCGCCAGACTGGCATCTCGTGCATTCACTCCTGTCCGACCTGTAGTCCCTCTTACTGCTGCAAGATGCTTCCACTCCACCCCCATGGCGATGGGGGAACATCCTGTTGCTACTCTCAACGTATGTTTCGCTACCAACTGTGAAAACCCGTCGAACCATGCTCATTTAACTATAGGAGGAGCTTATCCCTCGCCTTCCTCCGTCATCCCCAACTCTGTTTGAAGCAAAGAAGAAGAAGAACCTCACTTTTGAGGCCATTGCAAAGCACGTAGGACGTGACGAAGTTGCAATCGCTGCTCTCTTCTACGGCCAAGCCATGGCTTCACCCGAAGATGTCCAGAAACTCTCCGAAGTCCTCGAGATTGACCCAGGAAAGCTTGAGTCCCAGCTGGGTGGTTTTCCCAACCGAGGCAGCACCCTCGACATGCCTCCCAAGGACCCTACCATTTACCGTCTTTATGAGATTGTGCAAAACTACGGCCAGGCTTACAAAGCCGTCATGCATGAGAAGTTTGGCGATGGCATCATGAGCGCCATCTCTTTCAGCACAAAGGTGGAGAAGGAAACTGATGACAAGGGCGAGTGGGCCAAGATTACCCTGAGGGGCAAGTGGTACGTTTGCTGCAAAGTAAAATCTCTCACTCATCGCTAATGACGGCCTAGGTTACCTTACTCGCGATTCTAAATCATTCACGATACCAATCTAATTCAATTATTTTGCATTCATGATAATATTAGCGCTCAAGGACTCAGAGGGTGTTGTCGTCCACGCGACGCAGTCAGAGCATTACCACATTTCTTTGTAGTCTATAATTTATTTTCTTATGCCGTTTATGTTGCGCGAGTGAGAGGGGTTTATTGTGCTTCTAGAGCGTACTTTCCTCCGTGGCTACCAGAATTCACCGCTCCTGCCTCTCGTGTCTCTCACCTTCACTCATTCACTGCTTTTCCCCTCTACATTATCAATGCTTCGATCACCTTCTTCCGCCTCCTTCTAGTGCACGTCCTGCCAAGGTAGATTCATTTGCCTTTCTTTTTCAATTCACCTGATATCTTACCTTACCCATCACATAAGGTATCACATACCAGCAGAAGCATCCCACAACTGTGTGAGCCGAACCACCATTGCTCTGTACTTCTACCAACTCACTCTTGACTCAATCACAGAAGCCAACATGCCTGCCCCACTGGTGCCAGTCCGGCGCTTCAAGTGTACGTACAAAGACTGCAACATGTCCTTCGACACCGAGAAGCAGATGAGGAGCCACAAGAAATGTTCCGACGAGCACGAATACTGTCACAAGTGTGACGAGGACTTTGATTCTTTCAAAGATTATGCAATGCATAAGATTACACGCCCGGCAGAACACGGTCGTGCATGTCGTGTGTGCGGGGACGAGTTCAAGAGCACCTCCGGCCTGAATCGCCACATCGAGCTCAACCACAAGGTCGATCAGAAGCTTACCTGCATCGGATGCCACGAATCTTTCTACAGTGCTGCCCTGTTCATCGAGCACCTCGAATTCGGTCACTGTGGGGTGATCTCAGCATCCCAGTTTCAGGGCCACATCGTTCACAAGCACCTGATTAGCGAGCTCTTGAAATGCGGCCCGGCGCTGGACCGCTTTCGACAGAAGACATCCAAGTTTGACGCAGCAATTGATTACGAAGAAGAAGGTGGTGTCATCCTTGATGGTCCCTTGGACGACGACAAGGAGATCGAGGCAGTCGACTTCAAAGCCATTGAACCCGACACGACCCTCACCCCGGCCATGGCTGACCTATCTCTCCACCCCAAGGGAGTGCCTCGTCCATCCAGCCCCAAGCAGAAAGTCTGGGTTAGCCGCAAGGAAAAGCCTACTGCTGCTACGCTGTTCCCCGATGCGAAGCCCAATCCTCCCAAAGACTTCTCTATCTCGGCCCATGACGCTGCCATGGAGCAGGAGCACGGGATCAACATCTTGCGCTCACGCTTCTGGGACCCCATGAGTACCGACTGGAACCCTGAGAAGTTCTACGATGCCATAGTGGGCAAGTACCACTGTCCATTTGTCTGCGAGTAAGTCGATTCAATCCTTACGTATCTGCGACTCGTCTTTGCTAACGCAGCTAGACAAACCTTTGACTGCGTCGGCGACCTCAACAAGCACATCCTCGGCGAACACCGTGTCACCCGCATGAAATGTCCCAAGTGTCTCAAGCACTTCAACAGCGCCACGGCACTCATGTCGCACTGCGAGTCTCAGGGTGCTCGCTGCCAAATTAACAAGGCAGATGATTTCAACATCTTCCTCGATCGACTGTCTGGCGGCTTTCTCAGCGTCGAAGAAAAGACTCGGCCTGATCATTTGAACACGAGGAATGTGCTAGTGAGGGACGGTGTGACGGGACATATGGAGATGTACATGCCGCCTGTTGCGAGTTATCTCGAGTATACGGTTACGACGCCGCCGGATTGGAAGGAGCCTGCTGGTCCAACTGTGCAGGTTGGGGGTTCCTCGCAGACTTCGCCGTGGTAGGGTGGGTAGGCTAGTGGCGGCTTGGAAGTGAGTGGGAAACAGGTTGTGGTTATGCGAAAGAAAGGAGGGGGAAAGGAGTAACGGGAGATGAACATGGAGAAAAGTCCTTGGTATGTGTACTCTGGAGGAATGGCTTTGCTCTCTTCTCTTCATCTCTCATTCATTACACTTAAAGAGCGACATACCAAAAAAATCATACTCATTACGATCCAGGGTATCCCTCAAATACCCACCCACCTAACTCGTGTCCTACAAACAAAAACATATGCCACGCGTGGGGTTGGTATCAATGCTTGCTTTTTTTCATTTCCTCACAACAAAGAAAAAAAACTGCCAACATTTCCGCACCAAAGGCAACCTTCCTCCCTTAAATAAGACCGCCCAAACCCCTCCTCTTACTAGTCTGATTCGAAGTAAGTTTCAAATTACCCATATCACACCAATTGACACCATTGACCGTGACATCCTATAATTATATGGTTAGCCATGATTCTAAGCAAGAGGGAAATGACAGGAAGGGATGATAAAGACTTACCAAACAAGACAAATGCTTACACCAACTACACGTATTTCTCCACTCATAAAAGTTCCTCAGCAGCAGTATAAATCCTATAAACACCGCCATGAGGCTGCCCGCACGAACAAGCCACCACACCCACCACAGCGGCTTTCTGCCTTTAAAAAACCCAATCGGTTGCTTCGCAAACGCCGTGACTTTTGACGTTGGAGTTTCGGATTTCGGGGCAAGCGGCTGCGTATCCACGGTTGCGTAAGGGGGTTCACCCTGGCCGGTGCGTCTGCGAAGTGCCTCGGGCGAGTGAATGATACAGATACCTAGGACGAGACCCATGAGGAAGCCGCCGATATGCGAGAAGTTGTCGAGGCCGGGTAGGAGACCGATGACGAAGGCAATGGCCATGTCGAGGAGGAGGAATAGCAAGTCTTTGATGGGGCTGCGGCGTGTGGACCAGTTGTATAGCAGGTCCAGCAATGTGAGGGCGAGGACGCCAAAGAGAGAACCAGAGCAGCCGACGGATGTAATGCCGTCGGGTGCGTAGTTGCCGCCGAGAACGAAGCCGAAGATACCGGCGGAAAAGTAGACGAGAGCGAAGCGCAAGGGGCCGATTTCCTTTTCCATATCGCGACCGAGGGTCCATTGCAGTAGCATGTTGAAGCCGATGTGGATGAGTCCTGCGTGTAGGAACATCGGGGTGATGAAGCGCCACCATTGGTCGGGCTCGTGGCTTCGATCTTTGAAGTTGGTTACGCCGCTCTGGTCGGGAACGCCGCCGCCCATGCCACAGAGCTCGGCCAAGGTACACTGCGGTGTGTTTGGGGTAATAACAGTGGTGTTGGGACATGGCCACTCGAGGACCGGAGGGTTGGCCTCGATTACCCGCTTGATGTTGTGCATACAGGGCGTGAAGCGAGCACCCATGTTGATGAGGACGTAGGGCGAAGGGCCAATCATAATGTTGAAATTGGGCTTGGTTTGGATGGGAGAGCCGGTTAGCATGCCTGGATATCTTGTCAGCACATGGCCCAGCCTCGAAGTCACGGTATATACGCACCGTTTTTGATAAGTTCTCCAATAAACACGCCAACTTGCACCGCCGTAAGAATGTATACGACCCATGTGACTCCTCCGTTGAACAAGCCCTTCTTCTTCTTCTTTCTGCTGCTCTTCCTCCTCGGCTCTACTCCCATACCATAAAACTCTGGATCATTGTCATATCGTACAGGGCTACCGTCATTCCTCCTGTTTTGATTCTGCAAGGGTATTGCATTTTGGTCTGCAAACGGGTCTGGTTGCCGCGCATGCGGATCGTTGATGTGTGCAGTGGAACTATACTGAGTGGGTGGCTGGTATGAGGTGTTTGAGTACGTGGTATCAATTGGCATACCACTCATGGCTCCGCTGCTATGTGTATGCACGGGATGCGGCCGGTCGTCAAAAGGCGAGCCGACGGGCGAGACTGGTGTTTGTGTGTGATTTCCGGGCAGTGCAGGCAGAGGCGCATCGTTTCTGTCTGGCGGTTGGCCGTAGAGATTGGGGTTGTGGTTGTTGTTATTGTTGTAGTAGTCGTTGGCGGCCATGGTGATCAGGCGCCGGAGAGGTTTTAAAAGCCCCGACGAAACAGCGGGACAAGCGGCACAACGGGATGTGCGCCTCGACGGGAGTCGAGTCTCTTGTATGAGCGCAGGCGGTGAATGCGACGTTGGCTATGTATGTAGCATGTACGACAATAAGCTGCGGGGTTAAAGGGCACAGGCGTGGTGCAGCTGGAGCCGAGGCGGCAGCAGCGAACAATTGTGTAGACAAACGGATGTCGAGCAGACTTGTCTTGGGGGTTCCAAGGAGGGACAACCAAGGAGATCAGGCTGGAAGTAAGGTTTCAGAGAGAGTGACACAGCTGTCGTATTCTAGAAAATTAGCGCAGCAGACATGCAGTGATAAACGAGGGTGGTGTGAAGGAGAGGCTGAGGGTTGCGTAGGCGCAGCAAAGGCCAGGGTTCGCGTGGCGGCCTTCAGGGATCTTGGTAGCCCCAGCCACTCATCGCATCGGGGCGGCTAAGTGTGGCGTTCCGGGGCTAAGAATAACAAATGCCCCATCAGCCATGCCAAACTCAGTGCCTGCCGGACACACCCGCAGCAATCTTACAAACAGAACCGTGGCCATGCACATGGCCCTACTGCAAAAGCATGACTTGCGTCTCACCTACTTACTCACGGCAGACGCAGATGTGTCAGTACCTTTTGGCAGTGCACGTGGATCAACACGACGATGACGACGTCGCTAATGACGATGTGCAAGCCCACTTGGTTACGCGGACTTTGACAAAGAATACCGCACCACGTGACTATATTACGCATCCCTCTCGTAATTGACAATCTACACACAACACATGCATATATGAACAAACATGCCTTTATTTTTTTGCACTATAGAGGCGGCAGACTCTCTCTGCAGTTGGGGCACATGAGCCGATATCGCATCCATCCTTCGAGACAGCCAGTGTGGAAGATATGTCGACACGGCGTCACCATGTACTGTCGTCGTTGCAGCAGCATGCTCGTGCCCGTCGCACTGTTCTCATCTGCCCCTGCGGGTACCACGGGCACTTCAATGTCGTTGGCGCAGATACTGCAGTCAAACACCTTCTTGCCCTTGGACCTCGACTCGCCTGATGCCTTGGCCGACTCTCCCTCTGCACAAGTCCCAGACGACGATGCATCCAGCGCCGTCGCAGACTCACTCGACGTCGTCATGTTCAGCGGCATCGTCGCACCTTCCTCGTCCTCACGGAGGATCGGGTGGTAGTCATACGCCGGCGGGGCCCATCCGTCTCGGACAAAGAACCTTGGTCCGAGCACCTCCTGGCTTACCAGCATCACCACCTGCACCCACACCCAACCCACTAACACCCCCATGGCCCTCCAGTCTGTCTGCGCAAACAGCACGTTGTCATCCTTCATATAGAAATAACTGACGGGCGCAATCCGAGCAACACTGATCCCCACAACATAGTCCCACCGCAGTGCTCGTCGACAGTTCCGCATCGTGTTTCGATAAATCTGAGGTACCCAGAAGGAAAGGTACAAAAATGAAACGACGTCAAAGTAGATAGTACGGTACGTCGTGCGCGCCGCGGCAAACTGGATAGTGACAAAGAAGAGCACTATCAGCATTAGGCAAAAGCGACTGTACAGTGTGCCTAGCTCAGCTCTGGGATTCGCATTCGCATTGGTAGTAGTTGTATTGTTGTTTGGACCAGTATCAACATCCTCGTCAGGATCATCCTGGTCTGGTGCGATGATAATGGGCGTAGGTGGTCGTGGTCGCGCTGCAGTGGCTGGTAATGGCAATCCCTCTTCGGAAGGCGCTGCTGGTGTGGCGGTACGAGATGGCGCTGGTGGCGTTGAATTTGCAGCTGCCGATGCCTGCTGCCGCTCCTGGCGGGCTCTCTCTGCGGCCTGAACAGACCAGATATCCATTAGGAACCGGAGATGCGTGAGCACTGAGAAGAGCGCTATGAATGCTATGCTATAAAGCGCCAGCTGTGCAGTGCCCAGGAAAAGATACATAAAGATGAGGATTAAGAATGTGAACCCATCACCCACAGCCATCATGGCAATGGTATAGAAGCTGACCCTGCTACGCATCGATGGCGTTGCAGTCTCCTTCATCTGCTTCATAGTAAACCAGAGTTGGAATGCCAAGCTAATGGCAAATGCAATGACACTCTGTCGAGCCCGTGAATTGAAAATCTCTGTTTTCGAGCCCACCAAATGCATTGTTTCCGAGGGCGGAAAGTCTGGAGGACCCTTTGACTCAATCACAAGCCCGCAGTCCGGAGAGAAGCCTACCATAGACATGGTGTGTGACATCTGCCGCGGAATCGGAGCTCCCGTGGGATATCGTAGCTCATGCTCCAGCCAGTCCATGTCGATATTATACGGGCTCGGAAACTCTTGAAGATAAAACACAAACTCACAGTGACGACCCTGGAACAAGCCTTCGTTGGCTCCATCTACCGCAGATGTCCACGGATTCCACAAGATAAACGTACGTTTCTCTTGCCGCTCAATCACTTCGTGTATGGTCCAGTTGAGAAATTCCTGCGACGTGTCGTACAGATACGGCGAAATCTGCATATGGGGTAGGGCGAAGATCCCCGCAAATCGATCGCTGGTCGTAGTCAACACAGCGGTGCCGCTCTTCAGGAAGTGGACGCCATGGACTACAAACTCCCACCAGTTGCCCCCAAAGCTGTCCCGGTCACCGATGATTACTTTTGCGCTAATCTCCGATATGGTCTGGTTCTCGTTTCTCCGCATCTTGTCTTCGAGCTCTGTGATATGCAGCCGCACCGGTCCTCCTGCTCCCGTTATATTCCGGTCAAAGTCAACTATGTTTCCAAACGGGTTGTCCGGGTTTGACGAGGAGTTGCCCATATCACCGGGGTGTCGGATGCGACTGAGGGCCGACCGTGTCCATTCGCCTTGCACATAGCCAGAGAGGTTCTTGTACACGGGCATCATACGCTCTCCCTGTTCGAGTGGACCATCCAGCATCCTCTTCCATGGTTCCCTGAGTATCTGCTCCGACTGCGCCTTGGCCTTTTGCCTCACAGGGTCCAGCAGTTCCCATGCAAAGCCATCTTCTTCTCGCAGCCCGCTGATGTTCAACCACTTGTTATTCTTCGCATCGAAATCGCCATATCGCGTTCGATTCAACAGGTCCAGCTGGTAATATTCGCGATCAATAAGTTCCCGGAATCGCGTGCGCGCATTGAACGTGGGCTGCTGCGGTTCAGGCGAGTTGATGAGCAGCAGGAGAATTATGAAGAAAAGAAAAGACCGCGGGTCTCTTCTTGCTTCCATCACCGCGGTTTTGACGATGTGTGAGGCGCCATCAAGTGGCAGATGTTATACGTTGAGGTGGACGGCGATGTTGGCTAGGCGTTCATATTCGAGCTTAGCATGACGACAGACGTTCGGGGCTCCGCACCTCCGCTTGGCATCACTCTCATCAGCAAACCGCATGTGCATTGAGTCAAAGTGCAATTTTAAAAATATCATTCAATGGGGCAAGAGGGGTATTGGTTATTTGTATGTACACAGGAAAACGGCCATGACTTCATCATAGCCTGCATTGAACACCTTCAAACGCCTTCATGCTCAAAAGCCTCTTGCTTTGTTCGCGTGATCCATAATTCTTCCAAGGGACATAACGACATGAATTGATTAACCTACTGCGTCGGGCCAGCAATGACAGGTGCTGCAGCCTCAAGGTCAACTCGTTGCACGGTCTGGCGCAAATCGTTACTGCTGCGGACCAGGTTGCCAAAGTATTTGCGAGCTACTTCGGTCTCAGCCTTGATCTTGGTCGTCTCCTCCTTTTGAAGTTGAAGCTTTTCGACATTCCTCTGCAGACCAATCCGAACGTCGTTGGCGGGACCTTTCAGTGCGCGTCGGACCTCGGAGCTGATGCGAAGAGCATTTGAGTGGGTGTAGTCGATTGCCGTCAGCTGCTGAGACAGTTTAGCGCTGAGTCGATGAGGAAGCGACTTGGGTACTGATGCAAGAACATAGGATATTCCGAGAGCAACTACAAACGTTAGTATAGATCGGAACATGACTGTGCTGCATGACTTACCACCAGCGATGAGACCTGGGATCAGTAGTCTCCTCATATTGGCCGTGCCCATGATCTTGGCAGCACCGAGAGCGCCATCCACCCAGCCAACACCACCGACTAGCCTGCCTCCTACTAGACCTGCAACTGTCATAGCCATACCAGCACCTGCGGCCTTCTCTTGTCGCTCCCAAAGACTTGCGACATCGAAAAAGTCCCATAAGTCAATGTCAATGTCGACTTGTCTAGCTAGAGCGTGCACGGACTTCCTGAACATTCGCTCTGGGCGGAACATGACATCCGCATACAGGTTGTTGCCAAGATGCAAGACACCTAGGTTCTTGATGCCATTGTAGCCCTGTACAGCCTGGTTTCGCGCATACTCTTCACACAGGCGGACGCTTTCAGTGACCTCGTGCAACATGGAATCGCGAATGTCTTCAGCATACTGATAGGCTGAAAAGAGTCCTGGGTATTCGATGCCCAAGTCCAGCTCGGCCACCTTGGCAATGCAGTCGTTGAGAGTGTCGCGAGTGTGGCCGTAGACTTCCGAGGTCGTGTCCTCCACCATACGGTCCACTGCTTCCCCAGCTTCTGTTCGGGACTTCTTTGATTCTTCAAACTCTGGCTCAAGCGCCTCAATCTCTTTCTTGATACGGTCCAGTTCGTTCTGGGAAACATCGCGGTTGATAGTTGCCAAGTTGTGCATGTCTCCTAATACGTTGAGTAGGTAAGTCTTTGCTGGCGCTAGCTTTGATCTGGCCCTCTTCTCCAGCACAAAGCGTCTTAGTGAAGCCTCGAGGTCTGCAAAATCCCGCTGCTTCTCTGCTTCTTTGCCCTTGCCCTTGCCAGATGGGTCATCATCATCATCATCTGGAGGGCTTCCGCCGGCACCCATAGGAATTGCGTTGCTCGAAACAAAGTGCACTAGTTCGCTGGATTCTTTGAAAGTTGCCGGGCTGAGGCTGTTGACCTGCTTCAAAATCATTTCCTGGCAGCGTCTCTGATCCCTGATTGTATCGAAGCCGTTCACTACCATAAACATGTAAGCTTTCTCGCGGGCTGCCGTGAAGATAAAGTTTTTCGCTGATTCTGTAAAGTGGTTGGCGGCTGAAACAACAAAGACAACTACGTCAATCTCTTCTTGGCGGGCAAAAACAGCCGTAGTCTTGATGGAATCGGCGTTGAGTCCAGGTGCGTCAATAAGGGCAATGTCGACCACACCATTGTTCAGCAGAGATTCGTCTACATCGCGGATGTCTTTGACGTAAATCTTGCATTGTGAGAAATGATCGTTGTCGATTACAATCTTTTCAAGGTCCTTCAGATCAAAGACAATGTATGTGCTCTCGTCGTTGCGGTTGTAGGTCGATCCAATGGGAATGGCATGAACTTCCTCAACCCCGCCATTCTCTCTAAAGTCAAGAACCTCGCAAAATATGCTCGTGCAAGGCTGTTGGTCTTCGGGAAGAACCTTGCGACGGAGCAGGGCGTTACAGAATGTAGACTTTCCAGCGTTCAAGTCTCCGGTCACCAGGACCTTACTTGAGGTGTCTTCGATACGCTCCTTGAGGAGGAACAAGTGGCGTATGCTTTGCTGGATTTGACCGTCTAGGAGAGAGGCGACGGAGTTCTTTTCGAGCGAATGGACCAAATCTGTCTGTGTCCGGCTACCCATGCGCAATTCCAACTTCAGGACAGAGAAGTCGTGGGCGAGTTGAGGTGTCACTAGTCGAGGCTCGTCCTTTCGCTTGTGTTCGACGGCTGAACTGGACTCTGCGTCGTCTCCGATCGTGGTACCGGCTCGTCGTGGTCCGCGGGGTCGTTCAGGGGAGCGGGAAACGGGATCGAAGTCACCCATTGCGGACTGAGTGTGGTGTAGTCCGGGCCGCGAGTCGCTGCGAAGATGTGATTTTTGCTTCTCTGCTGCTTGAATAGAAGGGTAGTGTGCGGGCCATTTCAAATTCATTTCTTGGAAACTTTTCAAGGCCTCAATTGTGCCGTGAATTGCGCGGCCGAGGGCATTTTTGTTCTGGTTGTATCGCAGTTGAAGGACGTGGCTGCGCTGCTTCTCGTGCTCAGCATTTGATGAGCCCGCGGAGAGTATGGGTACAGGCGAGGGGCGGTCTTCGCCAATGTTGGAGCGCCAATTCATGCCAGAGCCTTCGCCATCCTGCACACTGCCGCCATAGCCAGAGTCTTCGTCCAGCATAGACACCAGGCGGGCAGCGGCATCGCTGGTTGTGCTACCGCCGCCGACAGTCATGTACCCGGGTCCTGCATTTCGGCGCGGGACAAAGCCGTCGGAAGAGCCTTGGCGGCTGCTGGATGACTCTCCCGGCGTGGAGGGGCGGCGGTTGTTGCGACGGTTTGGATTCATCGGGGAGGTTGGATGTTGTGTTGTAGGCTACAAGGAGGGGCGCATGTCGTGTTGGATACGGGAAGATGGTGTCGTGGACGAGGGAGGCGGCGGACGAAGGAAAAGAATATGCAGCGAGGGAACGTCAGAGTTGGTGGTGCACACGCCACCAAGATTGCACGCAGGGATTGGCTGTCACCCACTTGCTACGCGACCGCCCGGCTGACAATGCGATACAGCGTCTTGCATGTGAGCGAGTGGCAAGGAAGCGGCCTGGAGGGAGAGACAGCGAGCCTCCAGTATAGAAATCCGTTGGCTAGTGGAAGTCCGATAATGCAAGTGTGATAACTTGACAAAGGCTCGGCATTGCAGGACCCTACATACCAACGTGCTGACCTGCGTGACGATCCAACGGCTACTCGACCAGGCATGCAGAACACCAAATATCTACCACAATCCAGCAAGCCAGTCCACGTGTGACAATTACTGGAAGCCCGGATGGTTGCAGACGGGCTACTTCACCGCCATCTTTGCCAACCTACCTGCCTACATCATATCCTTGACAGCGATAGGTAGCGGTTAGGCCCTATCCGCTAATCTCCCACCCCAAGTCTACGCCATCCCACGGCCCTTCTCCACTCCGCACCCGTCGCCGCCATGAATGTGAGTACTGCCTGATTCTCACTACAGCCTCAGCTGACATATCCCCCAGATCGTAGAATGGGCCTTCGGAAAGCGCATGACGCCGGCGGAGCGGCTGCGCAAACACCAGCGTGCACTCGAGAAGACGCAGCGAGAGCTAGATCGTGAGCGCGTGAAGCTCGAGAACCAGGAAAAGAAGCTGGTTGCAGACATTAAGAAGAGCGCCAAAAATGGCCAAATGGGCCCATTGCGGATACAGGCAAAGGACTTGGTGCGGACACGACGGTATGCTGGCCTACTACCTGTCGCACTGCTGGCTTGGGACTGACACTCGCCCCAGCTATATCCAGAAGTTCTACCAGATGCGCACTCAACTACAGGCGATTTCGTTGAGGATTCAGGTAAATATGGGCATGGTAAACTAGATCGGGACTATGTGGCTGACCGCAAGCAGACGGTTCGCAGCAATGAGCAGATGATGCAGTCAATGAAAGGCGCCACTAGTAGGTCTTTGTCTCAATGTGCCCACCGCAATACTAACGTTCGCAGCACTGCTTGGAAGCATGAACAGGCAGATGAACCTCCCCGCGCTTCAGCGTATCGCCATGGAATTCGAAAAGGAGAATGACATCATGGATCAACGACAGGAGATGATGGATGACGCCATCGACGATGCCACGGGCATGGAAGACGAAGAGGAGAGCGAGGACGTAGTCAACCAAGTTTTGGACGAGATAGGCATTGATCTAGGCCAGGCTGTAGGTCGAATGTCATGTTTAGAAGTGCATTTGCTAACGAGTGACAGCTTGGCGAAACACCCAGTGGCCTGCAAAAGAATACAGTACCTGAAACTAGGGTGGCACAGGCCGTTGGAGGCGGAGGCGCTGACCCCGACGACGACGATCTCCAGGCTCGGTTGGACAGTCTGAGGAGATGAATATCGAGAGGCAGGCACACGACAAGCAATAAATGCACATGATTGGGCTAGTATGTCACATAACCAGGAGTTGCGGCGATGGTGCTATGTAACGGTTGTTGGCTTTGAATTAGCTTCGGTTACCGTAACGGGATCAGCATATCAGCACTTGAACTGATGTTTTCATGTGAAGGCATTCGATCCATATTTTCTTACAATCTATTCGTGTAGCAGCGTCTAATGTTCCGCCTACTACACATAATAACAGAGGCTAGCCTCCGGACTAGCTCTAAATGTGAGGCGGATATTGAGAGTAGCCTCTACATACTATAGCCAGTGTACCAACTAGCCTTGATAAGTAGTAGATATGGTACGTAGTCCAAAGTTTGGCGCACCACGAAAAGAAGGATGAGTCTGTAGTCTCACTGTTGAAATTACAACCTCTACAGTCACGCCGCTAATACTACTTATCTCCATACTTCATGGTGGCCTCCTCACTACCCTCGTTATCCTTGACATGCTTCCCATATAGCAGAACGTAATATTATCCTTTCACTCCCCACGATCCACTCTCACCTCGTGTCATAGCCATCCCTGCTCATACATCGCACATACAACAAAAACACACATGTCCATGCTCATAAAGATGGTACGACCAGAGACTGACCACGACAATAAGACCGACAATCATTAATTTCTCTCCCTTTCCCCGACGTTCCCGTCAGCAACAACTCCCAGTCAATACTCTCGCCCGTGTAACTTTCCACATCTAATAAACTCTATTTCCGCCGATCAATCTCGACTTCGAACTCACGTGCGGATACCCAAGTTTGTCTGCCGTGTCAATTTCCCGTATCAAATATATTCACCAAAGCCCCTTTACCGTATCACTTGCGTTCACCTGCTGTGTCTGCCGCTTACTTTATATCTCACAGCCTTTAAATTCAACATAAAGCACCAACTTCCACCTGCCCCCGGCTCCTTTCAACTGCTATTTTCTCTTATCAAGTACTTCTACTGCCATTCTTTCCTTCTTCTTTTTTTTGACGAGAAGGTATCTGGAGAAGTTTGGAAAAAATATGAAACGCACACTCACGAGAAACTCGATCAGAAGCGTGATGACGAAGGCGTCGCATGCTTCGCTATGGGAGCGGTTAGAGAAGCCGAGAAAGGTACGTTTTTGCGCTGAACGCTTGAAGATTTGCGGTTGCTGATGTGAGGGGCGGTGGTTTAGTTTATATTGCAGGCTGTCACGTCCACGTCGTATAGGATTTTGTGATGGGAGGTGTGTTGGTTGGACATTAGGGTACATGAAGATCTGTGGAGAATGGGAGAAGAGTTTGGGGTGCAGATTGAATGGGTAGAGGTGTAGAAGGTTGAGGAGAGGTGTATGGCAGAGGGATGAACAGTGAAGATTGGACAAGATTACACTGTTGATACTCCAGTATCCATTCATATGCCTTATATGTTCATTCCCTCGTATCTCATTACATCTGTATTACCATTAGATTTCCATGATAACTTCGTTCGTTACGAATCTCCGACCACTAAACGGACTCGTCGCAAAAGCGTACAACTCGTCCTTCGTCAGTTCATCTCGGTGCTTTGCCCACGCTCCTTTGAACACTCCTTCAGCACCAACCCTGTACTTTGCCGGCCTGCGCTCAGGCATCCACGGCCTATTAAACAATATCTCAATCTCTTCTCGCATACCGGGTGCCAAGGTCAATAACTGGTTCGGAGGTGGTGGCATTTTGCGAGTAATATGTATTATAGCCTGTTCTATCTCGCGGTGACTAGTTTCGTCTATGATGCTGAAGACGCCCGCGTCGAGTGCGTATGGATCCAGTGGCGTGTTCCATTTGAGTACCGTGTATGTTGTATCCGAGTGATTATTCTCCACAGTCACGAGAAGAGTAGGCGGGTCTCGAGATCTCGGGCTGAGCGACACTTCGAGTCCAGGTAGGCCGTTGCCTGATGTGCGATGCGGTACGGTAAAATCCAGGGGCGACGGCGATTGGTAGATGTAGAATGCGCCCAGGAGAGTAACAGCCAGTCCCGTGAGCAAGGCTATTCGCAGGTTCCAGAGGGCTGCCATTTCAGACGCAGGTATGCTGGCGATATACACATTTACAGCCTTTGGTGAGTAAGGAGATTCAAGTTGTTCTTCTCCTCGCTTCACCCTGCTGGAGTAAGGGTGAAAGGGTCAGGAGACATCATTGCTAAATCCCCGCTCGGTTCTCGCTCACATGCTGGATCGTGAACCTTGTGCATTACGGTTTGACAGGATTTATTACACATGCAACGAATCAACTTCATCAAAGACCATGTAAACATTGCCATTTGTAGCTTGGTCCGTTGCTGGCCCCTGGTTGGAAGCGGGATATGCGGGGTGTGCGGCGCTAGCATGAACTAACCTGCCCGACCTGGCTCGTATCACCGAGCTGCATTATTGCTTCAAGATAAGATGGTTTGTTTTTGTGATCGAGTAGGTTGCGAGGCCTGGAGGACGAACCTCCCGTTGTGGACCCTAGCGCTGTCTGAATTCCCCATGTTAATGATGCGCGCGTAGCGGCGAGCTACTGCTACTAGTAGTACTTCGTATAGAACCACCCCTTCCATCGCCACTGGATAGAATACACACCCATTTCAAAGCTCACGTCGAGCATGGCAAAACAACAAGTACCAGCTTCCGTGTTCCAACGTATTTTTGATTCGTAACGGCCATCTTCCAGCCCCCAATCTGCAATGCTCCCACTGCTGCGCCTCGCTTGGCCTTGCAACTGCCAGGTTCATATACACGACGATCTTGGGCGCCTAAACGCAGCGCACTTCAAATTATCGTACCGTCTCTGAAACTATGATTCCAGACACACACGTACACATGTCTCTTAGTCTCGATATGCGTCACATGCTATCGCTTGTTCCAATATGAGACCATCCGCGTACATCTCCGTTACCTCCCAGGATGCTGCTGAAGAGCAGGGTAGACGCGCAGAAGCAATAGAGATGCAGCGCCTCGACGATGGCACCGGATCTGATATACTGCAGCCCAAGACGGAGACTCGTAAAGCCGGGTTGAAAGAAATATGGTCATCTTCTCCTTGGAAAGTAACTTCAGTTACTCTTGCGGCTATCCTTGCGCTCGCCATCATTGTAATCCTTGCTGCCGCCGCAGAAATGGCATCACAGAGCTACATCATGGGTCGGGACTGCTATCCTAATGGTCTTTGGAAAGAGAAGCCTGGTGCGACATGGCGCATCATGGATTCCTCGTACTTTTTCACGCCAAACCTCAGCTTTGGAGCCTTTACTTTCACCCAGGTCAAAGTCATCGATGTTGCTTGGGACGTCATTGTTGGAAGAGGTGGACAGCTGCTGCTGGGTTGGATCAACTATCGTGTCTTCAACGAGTGGCTGGTGTATCACATGGAGATGCATTTCACGTCCTACAAACTCTACGCGGCTGTCGCGTTTGAAACGACGACTATGGGTACACTTGGTGTGTTGGCAAGAGAGTTTCTAGCGTTTGGCAAAAGAACACGGCGCCGGTTCTTCAGGTGGCTTGCGATGCTTTCCATGTTGCTGTCGACGTTGTACGTGCTGTCGTTTCCGACTTTGATGGCTGCCATGACCGGTTACATTACTACGTACGAGCTCTATGTGGAAAACATTGAGAGCAACCTCATCGAATGGGGTAAGATAAATCGGGTGATGCACATCATTGAAGACGCGGATAGATTGGACTACGAGAAACCCTTGATAATCACAGAGGCCGATCGGCCACTCACAAACGCCGTCAATCTTTGTATGTTGGACACAGACTCTTCTCAGTAGTTGGCTGACTTTCCTTCAGACTTAAGGAAGTTCAATTATGATCCAGACAGAAATACCAGAACAGATGTAGACGGGTTTACTTACTCTGAGTTCTACATCGATGAGCCTTCAATATGGGTAGCAGAAGAGACAAGGAAATCTGTGGATCTGCCTTCCCCAAGCCTCAAAATCAAGAGCTTCAAGACCTACCCAGAAAAGATAATACCTCCACCAGACTGGTTTGGCCAAGTCCCAGTCGCTTTCGAGATCCCTGCCACAGATATATATAGCACGTCGTACTTGCTTGAGCACGGCTCCTGTCAACCAAGCGAGACATACCAGTGGGGCTTCTCCTACATCTTCCTCTTTATGGTGTCCATATTCAACTTCATCTGGACATGCATCATGATAGGCATGTGGCTCGATACACGGATGAGCTCGAGAATGTACAAGAGTGGGCGAAGACCGGGGCTGCTGCGCAGCATTATGGATTACTCGGCTGCGATCAGGCAGGAGCTTGGCACCGAGGCTGAGTATCTAGAGGAGACCGACTTGCGGAAGCATTTGAAGCAGAGCGGGGGTGCGTTGATAGTGCCGAGTGGGGAGCTCAGGATATCGCGGGCGGATACTGGAGAGAGGGAGATGAAGGAGAGGGGCTGGCGGAGGAGATTGACGAAGGGAAGCACATTTTAAGGAGACTGAGTAATTCGTGGCATCATGATCGCTATCATTGAGAAATACGAAAGAGCGCGAGGTTCTATCCCCACTGATATCTCTCTTCATCAAGTCTTGTACCTTCTTTCAAGCACTTTTCCACCCATCCTATACCAACTATTCGAGCAAGTCCAGAGATTCTTGCATTCGATATCCTGGATGAAGATCTTTCGTCTGGTACGATGATGTGCGTGATCCCCTCTTCTTCCTCGTCGTCGGCAATCAGCCCATCTCCAAAACGGAGATAGTTCTTCGCCAGTTGCGCCTTCAACGACCAATCTTTGTTATCCACATCATCTGGGAATAAAGCCTTGACAGAGTGAAACATATGGGTCTTCAGCTGCTCCAAAGGCTTGCCATGATCTTCCAGCTGTTTCAAAAATCCTTGTCGCTGGAACGTAGCTGGACTTTCCGGTTTCGCCATCCCATCTAGCAATTTCCTCATCTCTTCCACGGTCGTAATATCGCGTGCGTAAGGATCGCCATTTTCATCTACGTTACTCTCAATTTCGAACTGATCGTCATCGTGGAGGTAAAACATGTGCCTGTTCGGTTCAAAAGGAAGTAGGTAGGGCAATGCGCCAGTGTCTGCTTCATTTTGTGCAATACAGTCTTGGATCCAGACCGGCTTGACAATGTTGTTTGTAGCTCGCTTTTCCAGCGACGCAACTTTGATCAGCCGTTTGTCGGCAATGATGATAAGATTCTTGTCTGTAGAGTCGCGTTGGATAAGTTTGCCACCATTGGCTTTGATGAGCACCTCTAGGTCAGCTTTGGATTTCTTCACTGGGTATATCTGCTCAGTCATGACGTAGAAGCTGAGCCCGTCGAAGATTTTAGACTCTGGGCCTGCATATGGTGTCGTCACCGTATCGTTGCCCATCACTGCCAACGGCTTCCTCGATGCACGCGCTTTCTTGCGTCGTGACTGTTCGATCTTGAATTCCTTCTCCTTCTCAGATTTCTCAATCTCTACTTTGGTTTTGACTTCAAGGAACTCCTGTACGGAAAGTGCCTGATCCCATCGTTTGTCTGTCCTGAGCTGCTTGAAGCGTGGAAAGCGGAGTGTCAATGCAAAGCGGAACTTGTCACTGCTCTCGATGCTGGCGGCTTTGCACTCCAGTACGACAGAGTCACTTGGTCTAATCCATTGGTCCGGTCTTTCATGTTGCCGATTCTGCTCGTGGCCACCTAGTTCGATGAATGGCGGTGGACGCCGAGGATCCCAATCATGCCATTTTCCTTGCGTTCGTCCTCGTAAAGCAGCGTAGTCGTCCGAGCTAAATCCACCACCAACCTTGAAGAATGACCAACAATGTTCGTGTTTGGGGTCTCCTGGCTTTGCGCTCTTGTTCGTGAGTAGTGCACAAAGAAAAGATGAGTGAGCACCTCCACGGCGACCAGAGCCAAAGTACCCTCCAACGACAATGCAGTCAAGAGACTCTCCAAACTCGGACATGTACTCTGGCTTCACCTTCATCCAATCGTTATTTCGTTGATTCAAGCAATACATTGAGCGAGGGTTCTTTAACACCAAGCCCTCGGATGCTTCAGCAACCACTTTCCGCAGCGCCGGCTCGATCTCAGTATGCGAACGCGCCTCGATGTATGGATGAACTTCTAATCTGCGGTGTACACCTTTGACAGCGCTTTCCAGAGCACGACGGCGATCACGAAGCGTATACTGGGTGAGCAACATATCGTTCAGGTACACACAATCAAACACTCGAAACAGTGGCCGCTGGCCAGTCTCTTGGTTTGTCTTGTTCTCCTTCTCGGATATGGCTGCAGTCTTGAGAGTGCCAAAACCGACAATGTGATCAGTCTCCATGTCCCAGGTAACCATTTCGCCGTCTAGGATAATGTTCTTCACGTTCTTTCCAAACGCATCTGTTATGAACCGCGTGAGTGCTCCAGCTTCGTCGCCGTGGAAATGTTTTCCATAGAGATAAGTGTAGTCTTTCGCCTTTCGCGACCAGAAGCCAAACGACTTCCCACCCGGCGCTTCTGGGTCCTCTACCATGTGTAGCTGCATGCGTTCACCGTCGAGTTTCTCCTCAATCCAGAATGTATCATCATCTGAATCTCCTTTGAACCTGGTAACCATCTTCTGGAACGAGCCTACTTTGTCCTGAAATTGAGCTAGTTGCGGTTGGAAGCATTGCATGAGACTAAGACCAGTATTCTCGCCCTCAAGACGTATGTTGTGATCAAAAAGCTCCCAACAAACACGCCGAAGATTCGACGACACGTTGAATAATGTTTCCGCATCTGGATGCCAGATATCAAGCAAGGTCTTCTCAGTCGCGCCAATCTTCATCTGACGGAGAATCATCCGAATAAGCCATGTCATTTCCTCGGCATTCATCCTTCGGTAAAATCTTTGGAAGATTTTGACTTGCTCTTCTTCGGTACCGACTTGCGATAGTTTGTCGAGAGCATTGTTGACTTCCGCAATGCTCATGTCGCTATACTCTGTCTTGAGTTGCCGTGACGCTAGAATCTCATAGCACCGTCCGGCAAAGTCACCAGCAGACCAAGCTGATGCCTTTTGCAGCTGACTAGGCAATTTCCAGTTGAGCATGTGCTTTGCATCATCTGAATCCTTGCCAATTCTCGTAAGCTTGATCAAGATTTTTGCTATTGTCTTCTCTTTCAGACCGTACATGGCGCGCTCTCGGTCTTTCTCGGGAATAATGAGGCGCATTGCAGGATAGAAGTCATTCCCCACCTGCTTCCGCCAATTCGCAATAAAGCGCTCGACGATGTTCCGCTTGGCTTCATGAGGCGTTAGGTTGCCGCGGCCGTGCGGTCCAACCTTACGCCGGGGGCCAACCGACTGCTTCTTTTTTTGCGTGTCCATGAGCGGGTTGAAAAGATCAGTGAACAATGTGTGAAACGGCAGTGTCTTGTGTAAATTCAAAGGCCGCAGCGGGTATTTCTCGTCCAAGTCATCATCATGGCTGTACATGAGAGTATTTTCCCGTACGGCGTCTGCATCCGGCATTGGCGTATCTTCTGCCATTTTGAGTGCATTGATGAGGAGCACCACGACGTGGGCCGTCGTTGGTATTTGAATGCTGCGTCGTGGATGCCTGGAAGGTCGCGTTTAGCGTTGCGCGTGATCACGTGGCTGTTAGGCATGAAAGCGGTTAGCGTACTGCCCAGGACATCACCCATGCAAAGGTGGATAAACGGGGGCTGTCATGAGGCTGACAGTGCTAATCTTGGAACATTGGAATTGCGACTCCACTGTTCGTTTTCAGCACTGTCTCTCTTACTCTTCTTCTCTCTTCCTTCCATGTACATATGTATGCTGCGTAGCGCCACTGTCCAACCCGAATCAATAGTCTCGGAATCCCTTTGCGTACGTCATTATTGCTGACCAACCCGATGGAGCATAAATGAGCTCTACACGCAACCAGGGCTGGGTCCCGCAGTCAGCCGGAGATGTGCAGCACAACGTACGCAACGCTGCATTGCAGGGCGCCTCGAAAGCCTTTTCTAAACCCCTTGTGAAACCAAAGCCTGCCACTAACACATATACCGGAGGAGACAATGCAGCCTGGCTAGCAGCCACGCGGGTTGGAACAGGCAGCCCTGCATCCTTACAACGAGACCATACCGGCGGATCTCTAGGCGTCAGCAGACCAATCACCTCCAACCCGGCGAACCCTACGTCGTTGAGCGTTCCTGGCGATCACCTTGACCGTGTACCATCTCCATCCAACATCGCAGCACGGCTGGCCGCTGCCCGGCACAGCCCTCTGAAGCCCATGCCCCAACCCAAACTCCAGCCTGCGCCCTCAATGGACGAACAAGAGCCAAATGAAAGGGATATACTACCTCCACCTGGTAGTGTGGGCAATCTGCTTGCGAAACTTGAGCCCAAGAAGCCTGGTCCGCAGTCGCAGAAAAGGAGGGACAGTCTTGAGTCGCGCTCAACTGCCAGCCGTGTCCAGCGACCGGAATCAGCTAGCAGGCCCACCGACGATACTCCCATACCGCCTACAAATACCTTAGTGAAGATGTTTGAACAAGGCAGATCTACAACGCCGACCGACCAGACTTCTACGCCTTTACATGTTACTCGAAGTTCGCCGCCTCCTGTTCGATCCCCAAAGCCTCGGCGGAACTTCTCACTGCCACCTGACCCGGAAGACGATGCTCCATTGCAAAGGAAAAGAACACAGACACCCCCACCTGTCAAGCCAAAGCCAAAGCATCAGATCCAGCTACCGCCACAATTCACTGATGGTGCGAGTGAAGCATACTTCAATACGCCTAAGAAGGGTCCTGTGAAGTCACCTCTAGTCAAGCAGAAGCCGGTAGAATTAGCAGCTATCACGACAACAATCTCACCACCTCGAAAAGGCTCCGGTCAGACAAGGCCAAAGTCCCAGGATGCATCAACATGGGTTCCAGGGCAGAGAAGGAGAATGTCGACATCCATGGAAAGCTCCAGACCACCCTCAACGCCGTCTTCTTTCAAGTCTGCAAAAGAGGAACAAGAAGAAGAAGACGACGTAGAAGTCAAACTCAAGCCAACCGTGCCTCCGCCTCGTCGCTCGACTACCCGGAAAGCAGAGTCAGTACCGGCTTCGCAAAAGCTTCAACCGACAACACCCATACAGATCAAACCACGCGCAGGCAATCGAACGCCAGGTTCAACATCTCCAGTGCGGAACCTCTCACCTCGTCGGCCAGCATCTAATGCAGGGACGGCCTCCCCATCGGTGTATCACAACAACTACCAACGTGAATCAGTCAAGCAGATCACCCAACATATGACTGGAGAGTCCCTATCAAGTGCAATCATGGGCGCAGCTCTAGCTTCACACTCTCGCAATGTTTCCCCTGCGCCTCGCCCCATGTCAGTTGAGCCGCTCTTCCCACCACGCAAGCAACACCACCACCACCACTTGCCGTTTCATCGGTCTCCGTCTCCACAGAAGAATTCACCTCCGAAAAGCACAGGG